AACCCTGCTCCTGCAAATGAACAGACACTGTGAGCATTGTCACTCTAAGACAGGAAGTTCCAAACTGGCAGGATAAATACATACAAAAGCTGAATAAAAAAAAAAGCCTGCAGACTCCTTCATTGAATTTAATGGAGTGTATGTGGTTTTTGGTTAAGGGGTATATACTCTTTTATAGTTATAATAACTTTAGTACAATCTCTTGAGTTTTCTTAAAACAACTTTGCCACTTTGCCCATTCACTTAAAAGAACACCCTTCCCATCCACTTATACTCACCCTACTAGCATTTTCCTGGCACTTGCATGTTTTGGGAAACATCTTTCACTAGACAGATTGTTTTATCAAACGTTTGTTCCCAGGCTGGGTCATGCATGTATGGCCAGCCACCATCTAATGTTAATTTGCAGCTTTACTTTCAGCATAGGCCCTTCTGCAGCTCCCCATTAAAAAAAATAAAAATAAATAGAAACAAATAAAACTTTAGTTCTCTACTAACTGTTGCTGTGTACTTACATTATGTTTTTATGACAGGAAAATATATATATTTTTTATTTGCGCCATTGACAGAGAACATAACGTTTCCCTATGCGAGCCTTAAAGACTGAACAATTCATGCCATGCATTTTTATCCTTGAATACTTTTTGTATACAAACAAGCAATAAACTGCTCGTTATTGCTCAAAAGGAGACACACAGCATCTAATGAGAAATAACACTGCCAAGGAAACAAAGATCTAAAAAAATCTAAATATTCTTTTTTCTGTATAAATTACAGAAAAAAGAACACAAACTGTTACCTTGATTTATGTATCATGTAAAACAAAAAAGGAAGAACTTGTGCTTTGATTTATACAGACAAGATATGTCAACATATAAAATCTATAAGACAATTTGCTGAAACAATGAATCACATTTTACAGTTTCTCACAGAAATGCTGAAATTAATATTTAACAATGAAATGACCAGGGGAAATACAACAGACTAATTGAATAAATATATATACAGCTGGTTGGAAATAAAACAAAAGGAACAAATTGAAATATAAATGATCATTAAGCTAACCAAATTTACAGCTCTAAACTTTTTTTAGACTTAAACAAAAAACAAATTACCACACTTGGCACAAAAAAGCATCATATAAGTTTATATCAGACTGCACTAGAATATAACTATCACTCTTTTACTACATAGTCATTATTAACTTATCAAACCAAAGACAGCAGCCATGTGGGATGTCACATATGAAAACATTGGGTAACAAAATCAGGCTCATGCAAAAAAAAATGAGGATATGCAAAGAGCAGGAAGAAAGCCCATAAAGCTTAGAGGGTGGTCAGATATGATCAAACACTTTTCCATTGAAATACTGTGGTCCATGGTTTGAATCCTGGTCAAGACACCATCTGCATGTAGTTTGCATGTTCTCCCTGTGCTTCCACAGGTTTACTCCCACACTTCAAGCATGCTGGTTGGTTATTTGACTAAATTGCAACAACATGCATAAACTTGCATGGTCTGCTCTGCTGACATAACAAGTTAATGTCAATAAGGAGAGCAGAGTGGAGGAGACAATGCTGATTTTAGGTGGGAACAACAGTGATTAGGACATACTGCATTTCCCACCCAACTGTTCCTACACCAAAGTGTCTGCACAGTGGCACTGGGGAGAACTCTATGAGATGAGAATGATGCCTGATGTGGCCAAAATCAGCCAGATTGAGCAACATGCCTATGGGTAAGACACAGACATAGCAGGAATCATCTCTTAGCTAAGATGACCTAACTGAACTCAAATAATATTTACTATCAGCAGACCAGTTTTAGCCAAGTCTTTGAGGACCACCTACAGTTGTGAAATGGTTATTCAATTACAGAAATGTAGTGAATATGGTCATAAACTAACTAAAGGAAAATTTTGGTTTAAAAATACCAAATATTTTATTACCATCCAATAAACATAAAAAACTACTAAAAAAGCTAATAGTTATCGCAGGACACGGGGCCCCACTTACCTAAATATCTGTGAAACTACCATTTATTCATTATTATTATACAGAATTTATATAGCGACAACAGTTTGTGCAGCACTTTAGCCACATGTATTCAAGTATTTCAAACTGCTACAGTATATAACACATGGATATACAGGTGAAACTCGAATAATTAGAATATCGTGCAAAGTTCATTTATTTCACTAATGCAACTTAAAAGGTGAAACTAATATATGAGATAGACTCATTACATGCAAAGCAAGATAATTCAAGCCATGATTTGTCATAATTGTGATGATTATGGCTTACAGCTCATGAAAACCCCAAGAACCCCAAATCCACAACCTCAAAAAAGTAGAATATTACATGCAATCAATAAAACATTGTACATAGAACAATATCGGACCTCTGAAAAGTACAAGCATGCATATGTACTCAGTACTTGGTTTGGGCCCCTTTTGTAGCACTTACTGCAATTACTTTTGCACGATATTCTAATTATTCGAGTTTCACCTGTATCTACTGTCTAATACAGAGCATATTACCACCACTCAAAATACATACCATATGTCAATTTCTCCAAACATGCTAACCAATCATACAGCTCCAAGGAGATCCAGGAATGAATCACCATATCAATTTATATGAGAGGTTCATACTCCAAATACAGTAATACCTTGGTTTACGAGCATAATTCGTTCTGGAAGCATGCTTGTAATCCAAAGCGCTTGTATATCAAAGCAAATTTCCCCATAGGAAATAATGGAAATTCAGATGATTCGTTCCACAACCCAAAAATATTCATATAAAAATGATTACAATACTGTACTGTAATCTAATACTGTACAAAATATAAAGAAAAATAAGCTAATTACCGGTACCTTTGTGGCTGGTGTGAGGGGGACAAGAGAGAGGAGGATTATTGTGCAGGACGACTTTCACTATCACTAACGGAATCACTGTTATCTCTTGACTCAATGGAATCTTTTTCATTTCGTGAAACCTTAACAAGGAATCTATCCAATGTGACATTGTATTGTCGTTAAACAGACTCATCGCTCGCACTGCTACAGCCTTATTCGGGTGGTGCTTTTCTACATAAGTTTGCTCTTATTGCAAGACATTGCTTGTATATCAAGGCAAACTTTTTCAGAAATGTTTGCTTGTCTTGCAAAACACTCTCAAACCAAGTTACTTGTAAACCAAGGTATTACTGTAGTTATATTTGGTAAAGTGTTTGCTTTAGGCTTCAGGGCTACAGTCAGGTAATAGCCCACAATATGCCATATACTCTAAGAACATGCAACACATATAAGAAATAAGGCTGTCAAATGATGTTACAAGAAGTATACATTCAGCAATAAATCACATCCGATATACTAGGTGAATAGGTTAATAAGATAATTAAGCTATTGATCAATCAATTAAGATCATGAAACAGTGCTGAAATATAGTTGAATTAATTGCCCAGGGAGGCCAAGACAGTAGATATATTCATCTATTATATCTAATTGAACAACTTGGGTTGTCCACTACTTGGAAGGTTTAATTTTACCAATGCCCAATACCTGGCTGAATAGTAATTTCATAGATATTTAAAGCAAAATGACATCCTCCTATCCTTTACAGCCATGAAGGTGCCATCTTTGCCTCCATTTCAATTACAGTTGCCATGGTGCTGCACATGTGATCAGCTATTATACCAGCTATTTGAGGGCTTAAAAAAGTTTGGATGAAAGTGGAAACAAACACATTGCCAACCCTGACAGTTGGCTTGCCTCAAAAGTAATTGTTTTGGGAGACATTCAATTGGTAGGACTAGTTCTGCTTTAAGTGGGGTTCCATGTTCTGCTATTGCCTTTAGGTTTTTTAGCATTTATAGTATCTTTTAATTATTATTATCATCATTATTATACAGGATTTATATAGCGCCAACAGATTGTGCCTTATAATTATTTTACCTTAGCTTGTTTTTGAGCAAATACAGTATCTTTTTAGTACTGAATTATCCCTTTCAGTGCTTTATAACGCTAGGCTTTTGCTCATTTACAAAGGTTATGTTAGTTGACATAAGGAATTTGACATGCAAGCCAAGCATGGTCTAGAACATCACTGCTTAAAATTCAGAACAGTCTCTGAGATGTTTACTCAAACTAGGACCTTGCAGTCTTTGTGTGGTTAATTTAACAGGTTTCAACAGTCTTGGAATAGCAGAATGTGCACTCTTTGTAAAAGAAGATGGCAATTTCTCAGGTTTTTCACTAATCACAGCTATTTTTCCACTTATTATTTCTTTCTGAATGTTATCCTTCTATCCCTTAATATCACTGTCCTTATTTGGTATGTCAGTAAAACACATGAAAACTTTTTGAGTGCCCCTGTTAACAATATGTCTATTGGTTAATATGAGAGAACAATACAAATGCCCTGCAAATAAGCACCACTGCTTTAGCATTTATTTATTGAATGGTTGTGAATTAGCCACACAATTTCCTTTGCTGAGTGCCATGCAAAAACCATATACATAGAGAAATGAAACACCGCTTTATAAATGTAATACATCATTTTCACCCTGACTGAAGGCATAGTTATTTCTCCATAATTAATAACTGCTAGAAAAGAAACATAGATAGGAATAATTTATTGATAAGGTACTCATAAGCATCACAGAGTGTTGATAGCAAGAGAATATGTAACCAACTAAAGACCTTTATTTCATCTGATACAAGTAAAGGCATGTATGCTATTACACTATATGCATGCATGTTCTTTGGCTACCTCTAATAGTCATTATGCTCAATATGGCCTAAATTTAATCAGAATATATATCAAAATTGCAATAATCACGTAATCAAGAACCATGGGATCAAGTTTGCAAAAGGCATTGTGAAAACTTGATTCCATTATAAAATGATCCTCCCAAGGGTCAACCTGTAAAATAGAAAACGGTATTGCTTGTTTGCCAGATTTTGCATTAAGCAGCCAGGAAGAATATTTCGTAATTACCTGAAGACTGTTTTGCTGAACTTTATTTTGTAGGATTGAAAGGCACTTTGTGAAGTCAGTAAAGTCTTGATCTGGTGTTGTAATCAGTTCACATCCCTGTAAGAAATTGAAAATTTAATTAGAGCTTTTATAACAAAATAGTAGGCATAGCATCTATGAATCTGTCTATCCTGGTGCTGATATCGTGTTGTAGGGTAGCTCTTGGTGTAGGAATGGAAGCACATTGCTGCATGGCCTCATACTTTTGGAATCCACAAGTTACAGTATATTTGGATTTCACAACAACAGAAATATATATCTCTGCAGTCCATCAATCAGACATACAAAGGCGGGATATAAAAAAAGAGGACATTAAGCTATTACATAGCTACGAAACTAAGATCATCAACATATTTCAAACAGAATCGGGCTCAGACTCAGTTAGTATTATAATCAATCAAAGAAGAGTGCCGGCCAGTTACTCAACCTCTAGCCCCCCAAAGGTATTCAACAGCTTAGCCTTCAGATACCATTCTGTATATTGGAACGGTTTTACTATAGATATTACTTCAGCAGTAGAGAAGGATTTGACCAAAAAACAGCGCCATATGCGGAAAGAAAATGTAGTACAAGTATCCTTGTGAAGTTCAGCAGCCAGTCTTTACCTACGGAGTAGAATTTGTAGATCCTTAGTAACTTCCTGGATGGTAGAAGGGGAGGGCGTATATCTGGATTTAAAGGAATTAAATTTTGTATTGGTGGGTCAGGTTAAGGTCTGGTGTTAAAGTTAGAATTTAAAGAACCACGTGATAGGTTAAGTTTCAGATAAAAAATATGTTGCCAGCACACTTTAATCTTCTGCACTGCCTTTATTGACATTTAATCAGCATGTCATACAGCATAAAGTGCAACATTTTAGAACTATCAGGGGTCCCTTCATCAGGCAAAGTGACCACCAAAGTGGACCCCTGGTGGTTCCAAAATGTTGCAAACATAAATATAGGTGGTTCCTATTGCAGAAAATTACTGGCAACATAGTTTTTGCCTGGTTGCTGTGGCACCATTTACCAGTTGTTTCAGCACCCTACACCTGGTGTGTGATGGAGATATCTTCACAATTCCAGGTTAAAGTGTGACTAAAGTCAAAACCTTTTTTTAGTTTTGTATAGAGTTGAGAGGGATTAGAATTTTTTTCCTCTGTGTCCCTGTTTGGGAGATTCACTATCTTTGTCCGGGTGACTTTTATCACTAAAAGTGAAAGAAAATCCCAAATTATGAGTGTGTCTTGAGAACTGGAATAGATGGGACATCTTCAATAGAAATACAGTACTAATTCTAGTGACCCTGCTGACCACCAGGGATTTCCCCACCTCTGGATGAATTTCCTTTCACTTCCTGTTGAGGCTATCAGACAGAAAGTGAAGAGAAATCTAGTTCAATGTAGGGGCTTAAGTGAGGTTAATTTTAGGTGTTAGGCTAAGGTTAGGCGAGTAAGTGTTCTACAGTTAACATATGGGTTAGGTTAGGAGTTTTCCTTTTAGCCAGGATCCTGTGAAGTTTATAGGTGCATGTAAAAAAAATGCTTATCCTTACTGATAAAATGTGCTTCATTTGTATGATTATGAAGTTGAAAAATGGCAAGAGTTGTATCTAAGGCCAATTTTTATTTAACATAAGCATTCCTTTCTAAACCACCTCTCCACATTAAAAAAAGAAAACAATGGATTTTTCTTCAGTGTGTTAAATGAAGACAGACAATAGCCTGTAGAATGAGTGCCCTGCTACTACCTAGGGCTATCAAGGGGATAATGTCCTATATCTGATGTTCTAACAATGAGAATCTGTTGCTGCCCGATCACAAAAAAAGTAGTTTAACAATATTATTTAAAAGGTGAACCCTACCGTCTATAATGAAACATGTAAAATAATCTTTAAAATTGCTACACAAAGCTTTTTGGAAATTAATGTTATCAGACATTACATTTCAATCTGTAGCTGCTGTAACTTTCTACCAATTAAGAATTTAAATTAAATGAAATATGGCAACCTGAAAATGTCATTGCTTCCATGATTGGCTCTCTGGTTTGGGACAGAAGTCTGCACCAGATACAAGACAAATATATGGCATCCCCTGCAAAATGATTTCATTTTTGGTGAAATACTGCTTATGGTTAACAACTTAAAGAGGTGCAGACTCTGCAACATTCCTCATCAGAAAACCGGGAGTGTGCCAGGTGGATATAATGGGCAAGACCCTCATATGCAGAAATCAATCTGGAAACAGTCTTTTCTTTACAACAGAAAAAGGTAAGAATCTGCAACAAAGTGTGTTATAACCCTTGCAATGCAATGTACACAGATCACCAAGAGGGGATTGTTTTATTCTCAACAAAATTGGTCTGTGATATTTTTACTTTAAATGTTATATTCTATCCTTTTTTAATTATATTAAATAAGGTAATAAAACCCTAATATTTTTTTAAATTCCAATATATCTATGACAGCAAAACATCTCTGAATCATACTCCCCTCATGGGAAACTCTTCCTGTACAACCCCTACGCCTTTCTTCTACCTCACTTTGAGCATCTCCTCCTTTCTCCTGTCAATTGCCCAATTCTCACTAACTCTTCCCAAAACAATCCATACTTATCACCCCTTACAAATGTCATGAAAATACATGCAAAAAGAATCAGACATTTCTTTTTTCACTCTCTTTTTGTTTTACTCAACATATAGTTATATCTGTTGGCATGGAAGGTGTAAACAGTTGGAACCTTCTGGGATGCACAACCTTACATTCTTAATGCTGGACAAGGATGACTCTTGTGCTCTCTTTAGGCCTCATTCACACACAACGCAAGCAACATTGTATATTGCGTATATACACATCTATGCGCGTATATACGATCGTCTATGCGCATATACGAGTGTTTGTGCGTATATGCGTGCACTACATGCAATCCCAGAATGCATCACTCATAATGGAATTTTTAATGTGCTGTACTCATGTATATGCGCGTAAACACGTGTATGTGCGCGTAAATACGCAGAAATACGCTGCCCGGACGCATCTCTGTTCCATTCTGTTTTTGCGCATATATAAACTACATAAACACATGGCTCCATACGCGGCTATGGGTATGGAGCCATTTATTTGCATATGTTGCATATGGTACAATACGCACGTATGCGCGTATGTGCGCTGCAGTGTGAATGAGGCCTTATAGTGAATTGTATGTTTCATTTTAATATTAGTCCTGTGTATGGACTATTAATGAAAAATAACAAACAATGACACATGAGTGCTTAGCATACACAGTATAATAAAGTTGGAAAACATTGCAGTATTCAATGCAGTACATGTATATCACTACAATTAAGAAATGCTGAAGTACTTGGTTTACTAGGTCATTTCAGAAACACAATCAACCCTTGACATAGTTTTTAAGCTTCATTAAGTTTCTAACCAATGGGTAACTGACACAGTTTAACATATGTGCTAAACTTGAAATGCCAAACTTTGGAATGATTCCTGTACATAAAAGGAGAATAGCCATGGACCATTTCTTTCACAGTTGATCATTAATGTACAAGCATGAAACCCTTAAAATATTTATGACAAGATGGAATGCAACAGCGTTCAATTCCGCTTTCAAAGTTAATGATATTTTTCAGAGGGCCAGTTCAACAGTCATCAGTAGGAATGGCTTTTCTATTGTCTTATTCATAACCCTAAATAAGTCTTTGTTTCACACTTTCATTGCCTTCCACTGAATTAATTTAAACCTATGATTAAAATTATTAATCTGCACAAGCGTGTGAGTTGAAATTTGTTCTTATACTGTGTCACACTTCGAAAAATGGGGAGATAGGATTTTTCAAATGCAGTTGGAAAAACATTTGTCACCTGACATAGAGTTGTGAGACTGGAAAAGGCTTCCCACACAAAAGTTTTACTCTATTACTGTGACTTTGAATGATATCCATACATGCAGCAAGAAGTAAAAAAAAAAAAATGATCTCTGCTCTCTTTGCTGCTTATGAACACCCTGCAGTATTTCTCTGCTCAGTCAAGATGCACAGTGTCTGACTTGTATAAATACTGAGACTAGTTTAAACATTGCAAGCCACAATCTGTGACATTATTGATGATTCTGGCTATGTAGTAGCCCATCTCTCACTCAAAACAATGGGCAATGAGGGTTAAGTAGGTAGTAAACCTTAACTGAATGACATTTTGCTGAAGCACTGTGCATCATAAACAATTTTCAAATTCTTTTTTCAATAAAATACTTATTTTCAAAATGTTTTATTATTTGCTGCATCTCAGTAATGCTCACCCCCTGCAGTCTTTTGGCAGCCACTTCCTGTCTACATGTATGCGCTACAGTGATGAGTGCATGGCAATTATCAGAGCAGGTTTCCTGATGGTGACAGCAGTGGACCGTGCCTGTGTAATGCATGTTAAAAGCCTTCTTTAAAACCTTATGTGATAGGATAATTCAGGAGCAAAACTGAAAGACGGACAGAACTTGGTCACTCTATAACAGTGAATACCTGAATAATAACCTTTATGGCAGCATCACCAGGTATTATTTAATAAAAGGTGCAAATTTAAAAATATGGAAAAGATTTTAGAACATGTTAAAGCTTATAAGAGATTTCCGTGATTGAGTTTACACATACTTTAACTACTGAACAATAAACAGCCTTCCCAAGAGTTTTTGTTTGTCACAAAATCTATAAAAAAAAATTATTCCCAGTTCACAGAAGAAAGTGAAACATACAAGTATGCATTATGTGGAATTGTAATATTATAGAGTGATAGATGGGTCACTAATAGGCCATAATTCCCAAGAATGGCACAGATCACACTGCAGCTCGGCAGTCCTGTCTTTGTTCTGTTATAGTTCTATTTTTGTTAGTTTCTGAAATAAGCAGACTGACACTGATGGGGTTATTCACTAAAGAGCCGAAGACTTAAGCTGAACCTTCGGCTCACTTCGGCTACAGAAGCCCCCTGCCCGCAGACCCCCACAACCACGGGCCAGGGTTGTGTGGAAGAGGCCCTTGTTCCCATCGGCATGGGGAAAACATGCTTTTCCAGGGGGTTCTCCCTGGAAAAGCACCCTCCCAATGCTGAGGGCATGTGGCCTGTTATAGCACAGGAGGGGGGACGCTCGCTCGTCCCCCCCTTTCCTGCTATGCCAAGCCAGTGCTCGGACTAAGGGTCTGGTTTGGAATTTTTAGGGCCTAGTATGACTTTTGGGGTGACTTTTTTATTCTTGACCTTGGGGGTTCCTTCTAACATTCCTACCAGACCTAAAGGGTCTGGTATGAATTGGGAGGGGGGGCCCACGCTGTTTTTTTTTTAATTATTATTTTTTTTTTATTCTGTTATCTACCTGTGAGGTATAAGGGGCGAACAGCAGCAGGTTAACTGTCGGATGTTTTCGGCTCAGCTGATCCAGATGTTGGATCACCTAAGTCGAACATGATGAGCATGTTCGGCTGAACAGAACGGAGCCGAAGCTGGCCGACGTACGGCTGAAATCAGCTGTACGTCGGCTGAAGTGAATAGCCGAACGGGGTTCGGCTCACTTCATTTAGGCTCTGTCATTCATTCGGCTGCCTTCATCAGCTTAGCGAATAACACCCTGAGTGTCTCCATGTATGTATTATCTATTTATCCTTAATCACTTCACATTAAGCTGTATTGCTCAGTGCAACTGCTAACTAGTACATACAGTACAGAGATGCTATTTTATTTGAACTAATCTAGTATTTAGAAGAACCATCTATGGATTCATGATGCAACATTTCTTTAAGGACTTTGGTTAATGGTGATAAAAGCACCAACGATAAGTCAACCATAAATGTACCCTTACATTCGTCCTCATTCCAAAGGCTCCTGCTATAAACAAATATAAACTAAATTTCCAGCACTGCGATGCAGGTAGATGGAGTCTACAATTCTCACCATTTGTTATCTTGTTCCTGGTAAGTCCAGTCTGTTTATAAAAGAGTGTCATGTTCCTGACAAGCTGGTTTAATCAGACTTCAAAATACAATTGCTGGGTTAGATTATACAGTAGAAGCAACTGCATGTACAAGACGTTTGCCCCTCCTTGGGCAACAAAGCTGGTTAGAGAGACAGAGTTGAACTCTGTAGTTATTGCTAGGCAGTCTACATTTTACTTTGTTGTTGGCTGCTGGAAATGCTGCTTAAATTCATTTTATTTTATTCCTTGCAGGCCAAAGATGGCCTATATCTAAATATAACAAATAAACACAATATAAGCTAAATGAGTGAAAAATAGGTTCGTTTTGGAAAGTGCAATGGGCATGTCAGTAATCTTTTCTATAGCCCAACTAGATGTTTTTAGCATTAATTATAAATTTGTGTTTCCAGTGACTGTATGGAAACATAAAATGGGCAACTGCAAGACAAAACAATGATAGTTAATTATATGTACAATGTCACCAATCATGTAATATGAATGTATTAACGCATCCATTTAACATGTGTATATAAATTGAGATCTGTTATGTATTTTTCCTAATGGACATGCTTATTATGAAACTCTAGTATCAAATTAGTGGTCAGTGTTTAGAAATTATCGGCACAGTGAGAGAAATATGCATATGATGTACCAAGGGAATATCACTGATGACAGAGATTCTTATTAATGGTGATCATTGAATTAAAATTGCAACACCAATTATCTTATGTAGTCCATCCATCCAGTTATTTATTCTGTTCTGCTCTAGAGGCTTTTAAAATTTTGTTGATGCAGCACGTCTGGTAAAGTGTGAATAATCCTGTTGTGATGATGATTCCAGTATGGGTGGAGGTCAGTTACAGCTGCCTCATGCATTACAAACATGAAAGCCAGAATTTCACTGTGTGTTATAGGCAAATGCAAAGGTATGCTTTCTACATTTCTTCCAAGTGAAGCAGTGTTATTCTACATACATAAATTCAAATATCAAAGGTTAGATGACATATTATTCTGTGTCACAGACCCAGTAACCTGCCTGCCTAATCTGTTGCTAGAATTATAGAGTTTGGCCAGATCTATAACTTTTAAATACATGATAGTAAATCCAAAATTGTTACTCTCTCTATCCCCCCTGATTTGGCTCATAGTTCACAACAATCATTTTCATTCTTTTGGACAGCAGTATCTGGACATCAGTCTTACAGATGAATGCAACATTTTAACCCCTCCTTTAATCCATAAAAAAAAAAATCTGTGATTGGGACATGATCTCTTTTACAAAGAAAAGGAAAAGTAAACAAACTGAAGATGAATGTTCTGCCATGATTCTTGTTCTGAGTCCAGTCAAGGTGTCCAGGGCCTTCTTTCAACAGTTCAGAAGCTTGTTTATCCAATTTTTCCAGAAAGCAAACAGATCCAGCTTATCCTTCTAGCTTTTACTCTTAGCTCACAAGACTTAAAGCCTCTGGTGGCCTGGGGCTCCCTGACCTATATCTTTGTTATAAAGCCATAGCCATTGAGAGGATCCTTAGTTGGCACCACCATGTCTGTTATGGGTATCCATGGAAAAATGCAGGGCGGGTAGAAATCTAGTATACGCCCCCCGACACCTCTGCGGCTTCTCAGACACTACCTCACCCTAAACCATGCACACCCTCTCAGTATGGGATGCAAACAGTCAGGATGGCTCCCACGACTCATCCCTTGTTCTCCTCTATCCCCATTTGGGGGAATCATCTGGTTTGTCCCTAGTAAACACTCCAGGTTTAGGAAGCGCTATAGAAGCTTTCACAGTGATATTGTAGATATAGGCAGCTACAGCATTTTTTACAAACTCTGACAGCCACACTCTGCCCCATGACCTTACTCACCTCGTAGGAAAAACTGACCCCCAGGATGGTATCTCAGTATCCCTTATGTATAAAAGGCTGCTACATGCTATATCCAGTGGAAGCTTAGTTTTTTTTTATTAATGAATAAGAAAAGGATGAGTTTTAACCTTTTCGAAATCACAATGATCAAAAATGATTAAGCTAACTCTCTTTTTCTTCGAAAAAATCTAGGTAGCAGGAAACCTGCTACAAGGTCCCCTCCCATGTGGCTATTATCTTTCTATTCCTACACCTGTTACGCTGTCAAGGCTGTGGGAAAGCGAAAATACCTACTCCATATTTGGTGGAAGTGTCCTACGATTTTCCATTTCTGGAAGGACATTAGACTACAAATCAAACTAATTTTACAAATAGACCTGCCAGATGCTTCAGGACAATTTTTCTTACATTTGACCCCAGTGACTAAATGCTAGGTGGCAAAATGTAAGGACCAATATGGCTCCATTGCAACACTCCATCATAAGATATCTCCAGTCCTGGGGCACGAAGGGGTCCTTCACTGCCTTAGGGGGCTGCCACATTTGCCCCTCCTAGACCTTGTTCAATTGACAGAAGGACAATGCCCTTCCAACAAAACAAGGCCTCATCTTATGGATCTTAAGCTGGCCTACACCACTCAGTTATTTATTTTTGTTTAACCCCTTCCTTCTACTTTGCGCCAATGGTCTCCCTGCTATCATGTTACCTAACATGTACCCCCTCCTATGCTTCTCTCCCCATCCCATGCCTTGCCCCCACCTTTTCCTTTCTGTCAGCCTGACCCAGTGAGGCCTACTTTTTTGTCAAATTACCTAGTTCACGCTGATCAGAGTAAGGGATTAAGGATGAGTCACTGGAAATGCCTTGTATATTACTTTTGTTTTTTTTTTTTGTTTTTTTTACAGTATTTGGTGAATTGACTTTTTTTTTTTTTTAAAGAACTTGTGAAAAACCTGTGTTGTGATTTTCTTTTCAAATAAAGGACTTTTTTAACAGTATGGTGTATCTATTTACTATTTTACTGTATTTGGTGAATGAGGGGGGTAACAATTACCCCTTACTCATTCACGAGAGGGAGGATGGCATCTGGGGACCCTACGCTTTTTTTTGTTTGTTTTTTGGTTTTGAAGTCCCCCCTAAAATTCCTACCTGACCTAAATGGCCTGGTACAAATGTGGGGAGGACCACACACTGTTGTTTTTTTTTTACTGTTTCTGTGGACTGTCAAAAGTAAAATAAATAAATAAACATTTAATGTTGCTTTGCTGCAACAAATGTTCATTCGTAATTATGTAACGCATCCAAAACTAACAAATAATTGGGATATGCACAATGCCGAACACTAAAACAAATTGACTTTCAGATCCGAATCCCGAAAAGAAACAAATTGTATGCCTCCCCTTAATGAAGAGACATACAAATGCTTTAACAGTTAAAACAGATCTTTTATGTGTATTTTATCTGTGTATTAAGTTTGCCTAGAGTTGAGCTTTAAGGAGGATCTTAGACGGACAGAGGACCCTGCAATATTGTTATACCCATCCCGGCTACTTGTAGCCAAACCCAAACAAGTATTATTGGTAAAAATATGTTTGATTTTTATTCTTAAATGTTTATGGGGACATTTATTGTGAAGATCTAATAATGTGTTATAAGGTAAAGAAGAACATAACTGTGACAACAGATAATAATAATAATAATATAACAGTGAAATATAACCAATGTAGCTTTGCTGAGTGATTGCTTCGGTCCGTTTTTGGAAAACATATAAATTGATGGAACACACAGTACCTTTGCAGTATAGAATTCCTTCACCAACGGCTGTATAGAATCAAAGTCCCCACTGATGAAATCTGGCAAATATCTTAAAAAGAGGGATGAATTATGCATTACTCTTTCAGTATTTTTTAAACTAAGCCTAAATTATTAATTAAATGTAGTTTATATAACAGGTTTTTACGCATAGAAAGAATACTGATGCTCTTCAAGACCCATCAGTTATACAAATGAAACATTTTATTCTAAAATAAGCAAATGTGGCATGATATAGCACCGATGAACCATTATAAGATACACAAACTTAAAGTCAAATGTATTTTGTGTATTATATACCATAGAAAGTATCACCGAAAGGCAAAACAATGGAAACGGGTAGAGTTCAATGGAGCAAAGATACAGTAGATGTGTATCTGGTCTGTTCTCCAGAATCCCCCTAACCTCCTTATTCTAAAGAAGTAATGCTCAGAATGATGTTAAGCTACCCATACACATCTGGATTTCTCTTGTTCAGTTCTGCGGGCCTGATTGGATCTGATTTGATGCAGCCATGTGTTCACCTTGAAGAGATTTCCCCATACGTCCAGTGTAGGTGACACATAGGACACAACTAGTAGCTGATCCTCTGGTTCCTTTCTCTACAGATTATTATTCATATATTCCTCTGGAGAATGCACTCCATAGGTCCCTGCAAGGGAAACGAGCCACGCTAATACAGGATATCAGGACCAGTGCTCAGGGGACCAGCTGATTCTGAAGAAAGATAAAATGTTTAAACATTAAAGTGTATTTCCACTTTAGCAGCCAAATCGGGATAACAGCTATTTCATATTTGTTACATGTTCCCATTAACATAGCATGAGCTAAAAAAAAAATGCTTCTTGCAGTTTAAATTGTTTTTTCTTTGGTTGGGGTTTTAAGGGTTACAATTGCTTCCAGCTTTTATTTGTTTGAAATGTTAGGAGGAGCTGTGAAAGGTGAGGGGTCTAAGGTGGCTTTCCCAGTGTATGTTAATGAAGCTTATCAGATAAACACAATCCTCAAATTTCTGTTCCAAGTCATTCCATTGGGACAGACCACTGTGAAAGGGCTAAGAAAAATCTGGAATCAGCCATCTTGCCTGCTTTAACAAAACATCTAAAAGGTAAGAAATTTTGTTTAAAAGTTATTTTTCAGTAAGCTGTATGAATAGAAACACATACCGAACATATAGAGGGCATTTCTCAAAGTTGACTGCAAAAGTGGAAATACACGTTAAGGAGCAGTATCCATTGTAAGTGATTTAATAACATTTAAAATAACTTAAACATTTTGACTTTACTATCACTTTCATCTCACAGCAACACATCAGGTGTCACTAAAACAGGAAGTAAGGGGACATATTTGCTATGGATATACAAATTAAAAAAAAAAAAAAACCTTGACAGAAGATCTATAAAGAGCAGAAAATGTTTTGGCCGGGGTCCTTTTTACTTTATACTTCTTTTCATCATGGCCTTAACCTCCATAGAAGTTGCTATATATATTTTTTTCACATCGGGATATTGCTAATGCTAAAGTCAGCTTTCAAATAGCTTTACAATACAATAATCTAAAAGTATTCCCTGTAATATGTATGTAATATCTATCATTGCTGTTCCCCATTTATTGTGCGAGAACTAGCTTCAAATGGTAAAGCATTAAGGACACATCCACTTACTTAAATCCTCTTTTTAGGGCTGCTTTGCACACTTTTAATAAAATTAGTCCTAACACAGATAACACAGGTGTCTTCGTGGGGGTTGTTCCACATTGTTCTTCCCAAAAACAATCATCTAGCCTTCTGGTTTTACTCTTGCAGCAGTGCTGTTCTGGCCTCAATCCTCCGCGCCATGTCTGTTTCTCCTTCAGACAGTCTTAAACACCGTGCTGACCTGCACATTTGGTATGCACCTCACAGTTCCCTGCTGCACTGGCCTCCACCCTAACTCCCAGGCAGAGACCTCCTCATACCTTAAGGGATGTGCATAGCTGCACAATCAATAGGTGCTGGTCAACACTAGAACATGGACCCGGGGTTGGAGGCTTCATCCCTGGACCCTGACCAGGGTTTATCAATGCTGGAGAAAACTGAAGAGCCACTTTTCTCCCTCTGCAACATGTCTCCCTGAGCCTCTAAACTTGTATGGGAGAAAACCCTGGATTCCCTCTAGTCCTTACCACACTGTCACAATTGTAATAGCTAAAACAAATTTTCTTAAACATAAAGATATGAATGGAACAAGGAATCATTAAAGTGACACTAAACTCAGGAGTTAAATCTTAAAAATGCATTCAAGTACCTTAACTATTAACAAAAATATAACTTATTTGTGCATCACTCAGCTGTAGATCTTCAAATGATCTCTGAATTGGTGCTGACACCATCCTTCCTTCTGGAGGGTGGATGCTTTTGTTCCCCATGGACCCTGTGTGTGTTTTAAAGTAGCCTCCATCCAAGCTCACTTCTGTGATGGACTATGATCTTATGTTTAGTTTATTCACTTGTATTGAGCTTGTAGTCCATCACAGGAGTGAGATTGGAGCAGTGGCTGCTTTACAACACACATAGGGACCACGGGGAACAAAGGTATCCACCCTCTGGAAGGAAGGACAATGTCATAATGAATTCAGAGATGACTTGAGGATCTACAGCCGAGTGATGCACAAATAAGATACATTTTTTGTGTATAGTTAGGGTACTTGAATGCATTTTTAAGATTTAACTCTGGAGTTTTGTGTCACTTTCAGAATAAAGAAAGCACGATAGTAATTTTCAGATGACAAGATGCTGTGTTTTGATGCCTCAATGTAGTTCTTCAGAGCTGTAGCCGGGAGGTAATTTTTCATTCATTTAAAGCAGAGGGAAGATTACAACATGAGTACAGCCTCATGTATACCAAGTATGTTCCCATTTCCCATTCAGCTAATCAATTTGAAAAAATACACGAGGCAGCTAAAATATCAGCCATTTAGAATCACGAACCACACTCATGTCATATCGCTTTGTTTCAAGGATGCAATAAGAGGAACAAGTGTATAATGGGACGCATTGTGCTCCCAAACTAAAAGACCTGGTCTCAATTAACAGCTGACTACAGTGGTGAGCTTGCTTGATTTTCAGGACAGAAAATTACAGGTTGTGCATCTTTCAATTACAGAGAATTGTCAGATGAGCCACATATTCTGATTACTGAATCCATTAAACAACAAGCTCATTTCAGGTTATTGTTGTATAGATGTTGCACACAAGGGTGACAGCAATTACCCAATGTAAACGGACTCAGGATGCACAAAGCACAGATTTCCTGTTTTGATTTGGCGTGGGGTGTATGCATTTAGATCTTAAGAAGACTAAACTCAAATCTCTACATAACATCTTTTCACTGGTTGTATGCACAAAACCAGCAAAAGCTTACATTTAACCACTTCATGACCGGGGTGTTAAATTCCCTTCCTTCCCAAAGCCATTTTTCAGTGTTCAGCGCTTCAGTACTTTGACTGACATTTATTCTGTCATGCAACCCTGTACCGAAATTAATTTTATACAAATTTTTGGAGACACATAGAGCTTCTTTTGGTGGTATTTAATCACCACTGGGATTTTTATTTTTTTTACTTTATAATGAAAAAAGTTACAAAAAACTGTTTTCCCTATGTTATGTTATAAAACATTTGTTACTAACCAATTTTTGGGCTATATATAAAAGATTGGATCACATTGGGTAAATATATGATAAATATCACCAGCACACCTATGTCTTGTGTCAATAATCCATCCTATTTATTGTCTGCACAACTTCGTATTCTGTCTGCTTGATCTGAAACCATAGAAATGAGAAGCAGGAAAGTGGACTCTGTGGGGAATTAACCAATGATGGAGCTCTTTTCTGCAGCCAGTGCTGTCCCTGATAAAGTCTGAATATACAGTGTGTGAATCATTACATTGTTAAAACTAGATAATGTATGCAGATGTAATTCTGAAGAATTAATCTGCAAGTATAACTTTGTTCTAATACATGTTAAATCTTTAATTACTATTTGTTGAGTTATATTCATGCCTATCTTTCTTTATTACCTACTTTATATATTGATTTATATTAGAAGGCTTGTTGAACAGGTAGAAGGGAATCTATGCTAATGTGTAGGCTTCTATTGTTGATCTCACCTGATAATGAGATGTCTGGTTGCCATGTTAGCCCAAATACTTTGAGTCACTGACTTACGACAGGGTGCATAGATCACTTCTCACTTCACTATCTACATGCTTGCTCTGGATTAGTGAACATAAAACACTGAGACCAGAGACAACTAGGTAGCTAGTGACTTTAGAATCTGTGATGGCAGCCTAAATGCTTCTCAGCTTTCTTTAACTTATAACTTGACTTCCCTATTCAGCTTGCTAACACTACTTATTTTATTGCAATTACTGTATTGCATTTTTACATTTTCCTAAAGGAGTTCTAATGTCACAGCATATACTATCTTGTTGTAACATCAGCATTGTATTAGGAATACATACTATAGTTGCTTACTTGAAGAAATCCCTTTACTATAGTAAGTGCTGCCTTCCATCTGCCCATCACTTTCAACAGCTTTCTGGATTACATAGTTACATAGTATTGAGGTCGAATAAAGACACAGGTCCATCAAGTTCAACTTATTGCGTATATGTATGTGATTCTGCATGTGTATGTGTGTACGAGTATGAGTCCCTGTGTGATCTTGTTTTTAAGAGTACCCGTACCCCTTTATGAGGGAGTTGTGTAAATGCTTTTTGAATGATTCAATACTCTCCGCTGATACCACTGCTTGTGGCAGTGCGTTCCAGACTTTAACCGCTCTAACTGAGAAGAAGCCCCTACGCCCCTTATGCTTAAATCTGTTCTACACCAATTTTAGGTGGTGGCCTCTAGTCTTTGTTATGGAGTTTACTGTAAAAAGTGTATTGCTGATGTTGCTATCACCATTGAACATCTTGTACATCAAAATCATGTCCCCCCTAATCTCCTCACTTCCAGCGTGAACATGTTTAAATTTAGTAACCTTGTCTCATAGCTTTGGTCCTCC